CTAAGCGCCCAAGAGGCGAGAGACACCCAGCAGCTCTGGGCTCAGAGAGGTTGCGCACTGGAAGTGACAAGAGTAAAAAGGGAAGAGGCTGGGGACTCGAGCCAAACCAAGAAGAGGAAATCCAATAGTAAGGTACCCGAATCCAGGGGAACTGAGTATTTTAAGAGGAAGTGGGCTCCAGTGTAAAACACAGTTTCTACTGGTTTTGGCAAAGAAGCTGGTTTTATAAATATTGAGACTAGTTTTAAGTGGTGCTGGCTAAAGCCGATTCTAGTGGGAGACCTTCACCCTAGACACTTACTTGTTCATGCACTTGGCTGTGAAACGAAGGTGAGATAACAGGATAGTTGCTAGAGTTCAAAGAGGAGGTTTGGGTTTGTTTTTATTTGAAAGCTGGGACAGACTTAAGCATGCTGGTTCTACTGAGGGAAAGAGCCAGTAGAGAGTGCGAGTTAAACAAACGAGGGGCGCACGAGTTAAGAGCAAGATTTCTGAGGCAGTGGCTGGCAGGAATGGGGATGAGAATGTAAAGGGGCAAATGTTGCTATCTGAGGTAGCAAGTAGGTTGCAAGTGCTATCTACTGAGAGCAAGATGGAGAGCAGGGGAGGAGAAATGTGAGAACACGGAAGGTTTAGAAGAGTCACATAGGGCAGTGGGATCGGAGCTGACCAGGGGCAGGTAGAATTGTCAGGGGTGATGACGGGCCAGCCACAGTGGTGCCTGAAGTCGGGCTGGTCCCGGTCTGCAAGGCTGCAGATCTCCCCCAGCAACATTTGCAAGTCTCTGTGTTGCAGATGGTGAAGACAGTTTGAACTGATCCAGGATTGGCACCTTGGCAGATTTTTGTGTGTGTGTGTGTGTGTGTGTGTATATATATATATATATATATATATATATATATATATATATATATATATATATATAATTTTCCACAAACATAGGCCTTCTTTCCACATCAAAGCTTCTTTAGGTAAGGTCTGGGTAAGGCAGGGATAGGGGACTTATTTTTCTGCCAAGGGCCATTTGGATAACATCATTCACAGGCCATACAAAATTAATTTAAAAATGAGCCCAGTATATTTGGTCAAACGTTTCATTAACCCTAATGCCTTGGCTGGGCCAGGCCCAATGATTTCAAGGGCCTCAGACAGCCCACGGGCCAGATGTTCCCACCCCTCTGGAAGGGATTTCGATCTCACACACCCAGGGGCCAGGCAAGGGATATAAATGAACAAAACTGTGGGTGTCTCTTTTAAACAAAAACACATGTAATCATGAAGGAATGTTCTTTCTTTCCACAAAGAAATATGGCATTCTCACTTTTTCTCTAAACACGTGTTCCTTGTTGTCTCCCTTTCATTTTGTTACTTTTGATAGACACGGGCATTAGGACAGTTGCACTGTAAGAAATCAGAGGAGCCAGCTCAGTGACAAATAGCACCTGACAAATAGCCAGTCTCCTCACTGAGGAGTGAAAGTGCGGTGCCAAGCCGGAGAGCACATGCCCTCTCTGCAAGGGGCAGTCCTGCTCGGAGCTGGCTGCTGTTGCCATGTGGGAAAGCAGACCCCAGGTGGCCAGATCTTCTAATTTTTCTAACATTCTAAACTAGGGAATGTTATGGGAAGTCTCTTGCTTTTAAAAAATGTTGGCAATTAACTGAAACATTTAAAAATACCGTGGTCCACCCTGGCCAGTGTGGCTCAGTTGGTTGAATATGGTCCTGTAAAGGCTGCTAGTCCGATTCCTGGTCAGGGCACATGGCCCAGGTTGCCAGTTTGATCCTCAGGTGTGGGTGGGAGGCAACTGATCGATGTTTCACTCTCACATTGATGTTTCTCTCTCTCTCTCTCTCTCTCTCTCTCTCTCTCTCTCTCTCTCTCATCATTAAAAGATATAAAAACTTTACAACAACAACAAAAAATACTGTGGTCCAAAAATGTACTTATTTAGAAGACAGGTGATATTCAAACAAGGCATACAGATGAATTAACAGCATTGTCTTAATGCTAATAGCTAATTTCCTGGTTCCTATAATTGTACTATAATTATGTAAGATGTTAACTTTGGGGAAGTTGAATGCATGGTATATGGGAACTGTTATTTTTGTAAGGTTTCTCTAAGTATAAGTTAATTTTAAAATAAAAAAGTTAAAAAATTAGTAAAACATTATAGTTGATTCTGTGTAAGCCAAACCTAATACCTCTACTGGCTCCGCGTTTGAGCCCTCTGCTTTTTGTCTGGGCTTTCCTGGCTCTGCCATGTGCAGTACAGCACCTTGTGCACAGTGAACAATCAGTAATACTGCTGCTCTATTTTGGAGAAAATATTTTTTAAAAATATCATTGTATTCTATGAATTATTTGACTTTTAAAACTGTCTTTCTCTCTCTCTCTTTAAACAGGTTTTACAAAGGAAGCAAACTGTTTTACTTCTTTTATATTTTTCCATTTTTTTTTTCTTTTTGTAAATCAAAACAGCTCAACATGGAGGCCTAAAATCTTTAAAGGGACTTAGTCTAATCTCCGGGAGGTAGTTTTGTGCATGAATAAACAAATTAAGTAGTTAATTAGAGTTTGTGGCTTCCAAAGAATGTTATCATTTAAAAAATATGATCAAGTTATGTGAAGTATAACAATAAATTAATATTGAGTTTTTTAATTTGACTATGGGGAATTGATCTGAGTTGGGACACATTGTTGAAATACTCTTCAAAATTGGCTGAGCAACCTGGCTGCTGTGTAGACTAGAAAAAAAAGTACCTATGTTTGTTAAAGATTTAGAAATGAATGACAGTTATCTAGAACAAAGAGTTAATATTCAACCCTCTCTTAAATTAGAGATATATGCAAACAAGACCTTTGACATGTTTAAAGAAATGTCAAGAACAAAACTTTTTGTTAAGTACAAGAAGTTTAAACAAAGTAGAAAAGATGAACTTGATGATTGGTGAATAAATTATCTAACCATTGATAAGACTATTGGTATTTTAGATTGTTCAAATGGGCTATTTATCTCTGAGATTGATAAGAATAAGAACGATGGCTAGATGGTTACATTTTGATAAAGGAACAACCTTATTCAGAAGTAAAATTTGCAGAGACAAAAATAAACCCCAAAAAGGTGATTTAACAATGTGTAAAATTTTTGACCAGTGAAAAACTGAAATGAGATATAATAACTCACCTTGAGATATGGGTGTGTTTTTTTTTGTTTGTTTGTTTTTTTTGCCACCTGGAAATAAAGCATTAAAGTCTGCAGTGGAAAATCTCAGTATAAAAACAAAAACAAAAGATAGAAAAGAAAGATCCCAAAAGGAAACCGTGTTTACAAATTACTGCTAGAAAAACCATGATGACTTGTTTATTGGTCGTTGCTGGTATTATTGACGCAGAACCTATTCATTAGTAGCTAGTCATAATTGAGATAGTCTGAGTCTTTAGGTCTCTGCTGTTCAAAAGGAGTGGATTGTGACAAAGTAAATTTATTATTATTTTGTCTTGATAATTTCCAGTTCCAGGTGTGCTATCTGTGGAATATTTTCTGACCATGCCATATTTGTACCATTTGGCTATCCATCTTAGCCTATGGACTTGGCACTTTTGATTGTCTTAAAACTAAATCCACTATCAGAGTGGAAGATTTGATGTTAGCCCTCAACAGCATGAAGCTGAATTTCAGAGACCCACTGAGCAGATAAAATACGATGTCTAATTTGTTAAGTATGATCTAATGGTATCACTATTGCAAAGCAACCAGGTTCCTGACTATTTATGATCAATAATTATTCTTTACCGTAATAAATTTTAAAATCAGGCCTTAAGATGTCTTATCAGTTAATTCTGTTACTACTTAAGCTCTATCTGGAAGAAAAGTTGGGATTGCTTTGTTCTCTGTATTAAAATGATTGAAGGAAGAAAAATTACTTAATCTGAGCAAGATTTGGGACTACTATATTTCATTGAATCTAAGATGTCATCCTATATAATAAAGGGCTAATATGCAAATTGACCTAATGGCAGAACTGGTCACTATGATGCACACTGACCACCAGAGGGCAGACGATCAATGCAGGAGCCTCCCCCTGGTGGTCAATGCGCTCCCACTCAGCCAGAAGCTGGGCTCACAGCTGGCAAGTGCAGTGGCCGGCCATGGTGGGGGCCTCTCCTGCCTCCGCAGCAGCAAGCGCTAAGGATGTCCGACTGCTGGCTTAGTCAGACATCCCCTGAGGGCTCCCACAATTGAGAGAGGGTGCAGACCAGCCTGAGAGGCATCCCTCACCCCCAGTGCACAAACTTCGTGCACTGACCCACTAGTCAATTATAAGGTATACCATAATTTTAAGTACCTCTAAGAAATAAAAATGCTGCTAATTAAAATACAATATGGCATTAATTTTAAGATACCTCTTGATAACAGATATTAAAACATGCATCTTAGAATCAGTGAACTATGGTAATGTATTCTTTTTCTCTTCTGCCTTCTACCTCCCTCCTCCCCCACTACCAAATTTCACAATCTAAATAAAGCAAAACAAACATAGTTAGTGTTTATTTTTCTGTAGAGTACTTATCAAGCATAACTTTCCACCGTGGGAGCAAGCTAGCTGTGTGAGTCGGACGTTTTATCGTTAGGCTGGCTGAACGTCACTGAAGCGTTCTTCCATTGACCTGCCTGTTGACACTCAAAGGCAGCTTGCTGACCTAAAGCTCTCTACACTTACGAAGGGTTTGCATTTTCATCACAAGGTACTATAGAGCATCATGCTTACATTGCATGATCATACAAAGGTGCTGCTATGGGTAATTGTTCCTTAAGATATACCCATGCGGGATGTTGATCTCGCTGTGCTAAAACCCTGAAGACATAGGAGGAAAAAAGGAGAAAATATTCCCGCTCTAGGTGTTCAACCTAGAACTAAAACTAGAAAAATCAGAGCCATGCACAAAACTACCTCCCTAGAGAAAGACTAGTCCCTTTTCCCTCCTCATCCATTTCTTTATGAACGTAGTGGAGAATAGCGAGTTCTTATCCAAGCTGATGAAAAGCGCCAGCATGTCTGAAATGAAATACGACTTTTCATGTGAACTCTACCGAATGTCCACATACTCGACCTTCCCCGCCGGTGTTCCTGTCTCAGAGAGGAGTCTTGCTCGCGCTGGTTTTTATTACACTGGTGTGAACGACAAGGTCAAGTGCTTCTGCTGTGGCCTGATGCTGGATAACTGGAAACAAGGAGACAAACCTATTGAAAAGCACAAGAAGTTGTATCCCAGCTGTGGCTTTGTTCAGAAACTATATTCAGGTAACATTCTGGGAGCCACCTCTCTGCTTAATTTGCCTTCCTCGGCGACAAATTCCACACATTCAGTCTTTCCAAGTTCGGAAAACACCGGTTATTTCAGTGGCTCTTATTCAAGCTTCCCCTCAAGTCCTGTCAACGCCGAACCAAACGGAGACATGTCTGCCTGGAGAAGTCCCAACCACGGTGTCATGAGTACGGAAAACGCCAGGTTGCTTACTTTCCAGACGTGGCCACTGACCTTCCTGTCGCCGGCAGATCTGGCAAAAGCAGGTTTTTACTACATAGGCCCCGGAGACAGAGTGGCCTGCTTTGCCTGCGGTGGAAAATTGAGCAACTGGGAGCCCAAGGATGATGCTATGTCGGAGCACCTGAGACACTTCCCCCAGTGCCCGTTTTTGGAAAGTCGGCCTCAGGATACTTCGAGATACAGTGTGTCTAACCTGAGCATGCAGACGCAGGCTGCCCGCTTCAGGACGTTCAGTAACTGGCCCTCGAGTGTGGGAGTCCATCCCAAGCAGCTTGCAAGTGCAGGCTTTTATTATATGGGTAAGAAACTCAATCTGAAAAAGTTCAAAATGTCTTATACATTTTAGTGTATATAAGAAGATGCTAAGTTTTGGTCCAACATCAATTTCAGGTCACAATGATGATGTCAAGTGCTTTTGCTGCGACGGTGGCCTGAGGTGCTGGGAATCTGGAGATGACCCATGGGTACAACATGCCAAGTGGTTTCCAAGGTAATTGTTTTGAAGTTCTCGTTGCAAATGTGTGCGATTTTTCTGGGATGGGTTATATGTGTTTACCCTTGTAGTCAGCTGTTAGTTGATTCTTTGTTTCAGACATACACTTGTGGATAAATTTAGGATGCCTTGCTTAGAAAAACAATGACTTAAAATATTTTGATTGGGGGTGGGGAGTCCATTCCGTGGGACTCTTTCCCTCTCCCCACGTGGGAGTCTGTACTTGATCTTCAATAAATCTCCACCTTTGTTTAACCAAAATATATATATATTTTGATGGAAATTTAAGACAAAGAAGAAATAAGTTTAGATTTTTTTATTATTAATACATATTTTAAAATAATATATAAAACCAAAATCACATGTGGTAAACAGGCACAGAGACAAAAAAATTTAAAATGCCCAGAACTCACAACCTAAAATGGCTACAGTTACCATTTTAGTGTACATCCTCCAAAACCTCTTTATGCATATGTACATATAGGGTGTCCCCCCAAAATGTATACACTTTGAGTAATTATAAAGGCAGTGTATATTAAAACACATTTCATTTTCAAAATTGAGGTATCAACTGTTGAAGTGTTTTGGGACACTCTGTATATAGATATATGTATTTAATTTCTCTACATGAATTATATATTATATATATTGTTTTGAGGCTCTTTTTTAATCATTTTTATATCTTGGGTGTATTTCCATTCATTCAATATTCAATAATATTAATCGGCCATCTATTACCAGGCATTGTTCCAGACACTTAAAATACTTCGTGGGATGATACTAAGACTTATGGTTTCATACTGATTTTACAGCAGGAGAGGGCAGAAATATAACCTTAATAAAGAAGCCCTGTAGCATGTTGGAAGGTAATAAGTACTATGGATAAAAAGAAAGCAGAGCAGGGTAAGGGAGATCAGAAGTGCCAGACAGATTGCAATATTCAATGGGGTAATCAGGGTACATCGCATTTAGCTTTTTGATCACTACCTAGCTTTTTATTGTCATGTCTTATACTTTTGATTATTCCATACTTGTTTTTGCTCTTCTTTTTTTTATTAAAATCAGGTGGCCTATAATTATATTTTTCATGGTATTTTTAATGTTGATTACTAAACTTGGCATCCTAACTTCTTTTCATTTCAGATGCTTTTTAAACTATAAAACTGTATCTTCATTTGCAGCAACATAGTGCTTCCCAAATATTTCAGATTTCAAAAATTATGAAGGGATAAATAATTACTTAGATGTCTTAAAAAGTGCTGCTTTTTGTAAATATGTAAAAAGAATGATAAATTTGCTTTGGCAGTGTCATGAATTAATTTTTTACTTAAATTTGACAGTGGATGTGTTTTATTGAGGAAATGTCAAACTTGTGAATATCTGACTTAATAAAAGATATGTCTGGCTTCCTCATTCTTTCTTCTTGTTCCCCTTTGTATATATTTTCATCTTTGAAGCATATAAAGCTAATTTATGAACAGTATGACCAGAGACAGCCTTCTTGCTTACATCCTCTTGCCTTTGACTTCAGTGTCTCTTAACAACACTTCCATATGCTACATGAATAGTCAGATGGTTATATGCATATTTGTGTTAGTTTAAAATGTTTAGCAGCCTACAAAAGGTAAGATTCAAATAACTCCTCAAACTTAATTTTGTTTACATTTTAGGTGTGAGTACTTGATTCGAGTTAAAGGACAAGAGTTCATCAGTCGAGTTCAAGCCAATTACCCTCATCTACTTGAACAGGTAGGGTCTTTTTTTTTTTTTTTTTTTTTTTTAGTCGAATAATAATTACAATTATTTTGTAATAGAGAGTAGTATTTTAGTACAAAGGCAAGACTAGCTTTAAAAATAGGTTTTCTGCCCTGGCTGGTGTGCTCAGTGGTTAGAGTGTCAGGCCACCCAACCAAGGGTCTCCAGTTGGAGTCTCAGGGAAGGGCATGTACCTAAGTTGCAAGTTCAATCCTGGCCTTGTTGGTCGACATGAAAGTCTTTCTTTCTCTCTCCTTCTCTCCTCCTCTCTCTTCTTCTTTCTTCCCCTTCCTCCATCCCATCCACTCTCTAAAAATAAATGGAAAAAATGGCCTTGGGTAAGAAATACCCGCCCCCAAAAAGTTTTCTCTTTTACAACACCCAGCATGATCTTAGAGTACTATTTTTAGGATTAAAAACAGATTCAGAATTAGAAATATCCTGAAAAATAATATTTAAATTATATCTGTCTCTAAGAATTTTTCTAAGGAAGTTCCAAAATTATTTGAGGAAAAAAAATTGGGTGGAGGGGATAGTAGAATTATGATGGTTTAATATATTAATTTTTCTTTAAAAAATTTGAGAAAGAGAATTGTATTGCTGTTTCTAATCTTCCTGGAAAAGCAAATAAGAATTTATATAGTAGTTTGAGGACCAAACGCTTTCTAAGCATAGCAAATGGAACTGATATAGGGTCCAACTTATCCCAAAGGGTGATCCAGGAAATGTAAGATATTTGGGATGAAAGGCAAACAATGATTTTCAAAGATCACTGAAAAGATCTAGCCCTTCTCCTGCTTTAATAAAAATAGAATTTATAGGGAGATATGGGGGAGATAAGAGATCAACCGAAGGATTTGTATGCATGCATATAAGCATAACCAATGGACGCAAAACTCTGGGGAGGGAGGCATGTATGGGAGTGTGTGTGTGTGTGGGGGGGGGGGGGGGAATTGGTAAGGTATGTACACATATAATACCTTAATAAAAAATGAGGAGGGAAAAATAGAATTTAGCCGAAACCAGTTTGGCTCAGTAGATAGAGCTTCGGTCTGCGAACTGAAAGGTCTCAGGTTTGATTCCAGTCAAGAGCATGTACTTTGGTCGCGGGCACGTCCCCAGTAGAGGGTGTGCAAGAGGCAGGTGATTGATGTTTCTATCTTACTGATGTTTCTAACTCTCTATCCCTCCCTTCCTCTCTGTGAAAAATCAATAAATGTATTTTTAAAATATATATAAAATACACACACACACACATACACACACAAAGGAAATTACTGCTGAAAATAGTACTTTTGACATAAAAAATTATTCTGTCAATAAACAAGTCAGAAAGTTGAATAAAATAGGCCTCTTGATTTATTTTTGTTGCAATGAATAGAATAAGATTTATATTTTAATTTTATACCTTTCCCTCCCTGTAGCTGTTATCTACTTCAGACAATCAAGAAGATGAAAATGCAGAGTCACCAAGTATGTACAATGATAATAATTGCTACATGTAAATAGAACCATTTGGTACTGTTAAGATAGAAATCTGATAATAGTTGTAATCTACTAGAGGTCCAGTGCATGAAATTCATGCACAGGGGATGGGGGAGTCCCTCACCCAACATGCACCCTCTTGTAATCTGGGACCCCTCAGGGGATGTCTGACTGCTAGTAGGTATTGGGCCTAAACTGGCAGTTGGACATCCCTCTTGCAATTCGGGACTGCTGGCTCCTAACCACTCACCTGCCTGCCTGCCTGATCACCCCTAACTACCTCTGCCTCAGCCCCCATATCTGGGATCTGGACTTTCCTCCCCCTGATCTGCTGCAGTACATTTTCAAATACATTAAGTTGGTATTTCTCAAACTTCAGGGCATACCATAATTTCCTAAGGAACTTTAAAAAATATTATAGATTTCTAGTCTGCATTTCAAACCTACTGAATTAAATCATAGTTATCTAAGGGCAGGGCTTGAGCATCTATTGTTTTACATCCAGCCTAATCCTTGTTCTCAGACTAGTGTGGGAACAGATGCACTGTATCATTAGCTTGCTCACATATTCTTTCCATGAAATGAAGAGGGTAGAAAATATTATTTTCAAATAGAGACTCTGAGAGGAAAAGTGATCTGTCCATCACCTTAAACCTAAAAGGCGATAGAGCCTTTATTGGAACAAGCACTTCTATTCTATTTATTACCTACCGTGTTTCCCCTAAAATAAGACATCCTCCGAAAATAAGACCTAGCGCATGGAAAGATAAGACATCCCCTGAAAATAAGAGCTAGCGCAACTTAGGGAGAAAAAATTAATATAAGATACTGTCTTATTTTCGGGGAAACAGGGTAGTGTTCAATTAAAGTCAATGAATACTTATTGTGTATCTGCTCTTCTGAGGATAGGTTAAAGAACAGGATAAACATAACTCCTGTTCTCATGAACTCATAGGCAAGGGATACAGACAAATACATAGACAGGAGAGAGGGATGTGGTGGGAAAGGTAAGTGAGCTCTGAGAGTGAATGAAGAAAGATCAAAAAGGCTTCAGATTAGAGGAAGTATTGGTCTTCTCATAGAATCACAGGGGCCAACAGGAGTTAACCAAGTGGCAAAGGGAAGAAAGAACATTCCAGGCAGAAAGAACAGCACATGAAAGACTTCAGTTACAAAAGAGAAAAGGCACATTTGAAGAACTGAACAAAACTCTGTAGAGCCAGAAGTAGGACTTGCAAACAGATGAATGAATGAATCAGGTCGGCAGTAAGAGTAGCCAGCACTGTAGGCAGAATTTTTGACTTCTGGACTAGAGTATAAAATATAAATGAGTAAATGGCGAGAAATCCATCAGTTTGCAACTCCTGGGCTAGAGTGTACTGTGCAAATGAACAAATGGCGAGAGATGAAGATGAAGAAGTAAATGGGGTCCAGAGATGGTGTGAGATCTTACACGCCACAATCCTAAGGACAATAGAATTATTGGTGGGATTTAAGGAGTGTGACATAGTCAGATTTCTGTTTTTAAAATGTCACTTTGGCTGCAATGTTGAGAAAGAACAAATGGGAGTAATACTGAAAGAGGCTCTTGCAGAAATAAAGGTGAGCGATGACAATGGCCTCTTTTGGAAATATGTGAAACATATTTGATTTAGAAAGCTCATTTGTTCACTCAACAAGGGGAAAAAAGGACCTCTGTTCTGCTGGGGTGATCGCCAACATTCCTTCTCATACTTGCAGTTATGCCGGATAAATCACATTTCATATCTGAATACAATATTCCATATTCTTATTCTAGTGACTGGACATACTTATCATTATTTTAAATTTAGTGAAGTTAATATAAAATGGTACCTTTATGTTTCTTGGGCTCTATGCTTTTGAAATTGTAATAACTTTTAATTTAAAAAATATACAGATGATCCCAATATGTGTTAAATTCTTTATTCCATGTAGTTATTCATTATGGACCTGGAGAAAACCATTCGGAAGATGCGGTCATGATGAATACACCTGTGGTGAAAGCTGCTTTGGACATGGGCTTCAGTAGAAGGCTGGTAAAACAGACAGTTCAGAGTAAAATCCTAACAACTGGAGAGAATTATAAAATCGTCAGTGATCTTGTGTTAGATTTACTTTATGCTGAAGATGAAATAAGGGAAGAGGAGAAAGAAAGAGCTACTGAGGAAGAAGAATCAGGTATACCTATTTGTTAGTACAGTCTATATTTCCATAAGAATTTGACCTCACTGCATATAAAATATACTCATAGTCAATTCAATCAGATTTTTCTTATGATTAGTATTCTGAGGAATTTCTTCACATGAAAATATATTTGAATTGCTTAGTAAATTAAAATATATATACTTAATGAGATCATCTTTTCCTGCTTTTTCTTAATTTATATTTTTATTCTGGGTAGTTGATTATGCATGTAATTCTTGGCATGTTTTTAACCTCAGGCCAGTTGCTTGCCTTAAATTGAGATGGGATCAGTAACAATGATTAATTTTAATATTGGCATAATAGTATGTCTTAGCCTGTGACTATAAATTAATGTTCAAGTTATGATGAAATCTCCTACCTGCCTATACAAGAACTGAGTTTCCCTTCCTAGTGTCCGTCTAGTATTTAGGGGAGTCCTAAGATAGGTACTATTTCATATTCTCTCAAGATAACTTACCCATGTCCTTCCATACTAGCTTTGTCTGCTACTCTATTGCCTTTCATCAAAATTCTTCCTCAGAGCATGTCTGGTCTCAACTGGTTGCTCTCACTGCTCCCATCACTGTGGCTTAGACAAAGATGTGATCTCTCCTTTGCCACTTTTCCCCAAGCATGGACCAGTTCTGAGTTCTTTCAACATAGTTAAACACAGACTGTAACTTTTACAAGCTCTTACTGGAGATTTAGGGATAACAGAAGAGCAGTTTGGCACAAATGGCTCTTGGTCCCCGAAGCTCATCCTCACAAATCTCTCTTCCTAGCTTTAGGTTTATCTCTGCATAGCTCTGGCCATTTATACTAATGACCAGAAAAGCATGTTTTCCCTAATCAAGGCTGGTTCCCAAATATCCACTAAGCCCAGAAAGAGAAAAGAGGTTGCCCCTTATTCTTACTCCCAAGGCCATCTGGGATCTATTTCTTCCCAGGATTATGGACAGTAAGATTGTTTACTCCATCCCTGAGTAAACCTACTCTTGCCCACTAAGGTGGTTTTGCCTTCAGACTACAGTAATACAGCATTATTTATTTACCAAAGTGTGAGATATAGCCTTACATACCACCAATTCAGCGGCAAAATAGTCCAAGTTCATCTCTGCCCACCCTACTCAAGTTCTCTTTTTCACCGTGAAGTGAAAATCAGGCTGCAAGTCCTACCTGTATTCTTCTCAGTTTTTGCCATTGGTCATTAGTAAACAATAGCTGAAAGAAGAGAACACCCATCTCCACAATTGTTTATAGACTCCATGAAGTCTAAAGGCATCCAGCTATATAATATTTATGTTTCCTCTGAAGAAAATCAACAAATTTCCAGATATATCCCCAAGTCAAAAAAAAAAAAATATATATATATATCTAATATATATATATATTAGCTAATATATATTAGCCATATATATAATATATATATGGCTAATATATATAATATATATATGGCTAATATATATATATATATATATACACACACACATATATATATGGCTAATATGCAAAGTGTCCCTGCGGGAGTTCGACTGGGTGTTCTATCATGCATTGACCACCAGGGGGCGGTGAGGAATGATGGAAGGCCCCAGCTGGCAGCTGGCAGCTGGGGAAGGGAAGCTCTGACCAGCAGCCAGAAGGCCCTGATCAGCCCTAATCGCCTGCCGGGCCTAGGGGCCCTACCTGTGCACAAATTTTGTGCACTGAGCCTCTTGTATACAATAATATGCATTGTCAAAAAGATCCCTTCACCCTAACTGATTTGGCTCAGGGGATAGAGTGTCAGCCTGAGGACTGAAGGGTCCCAGGTTCGATTCTGGTCAAGGGCTTGTACCTTGGTTATGGGCACATCCCCAGTAGGGAGTGTGCAGGAGGCAGCTGAATCGATGTTTCTCTCTCATCAATGTTTCTAACTCTCTATCCCTCTCCCTCTCTGTAAAAAATCAATAAAAAATATTTTTTAAAAAAGATCCCTTTTCAGGTTCAACATTATATCTACACTACGCACATAGTGTCTGTATTCAAGAAATGTTTTTTGATTGAGTGAATGAAAATACATCCATCTAGGTTACTGATTATTTTAAAGTTTTCCCAAGAACAGTGGGTAATTTCTTGACAGGTGTGTAAATAAAGAGGAAATTAAGGATATTCTTCCAGAATAAAATGACTCTAAGGTATTTTCACCTAATAGAAGACAAAATACATACAGTCTGTGATTTTGAAATAAGACTTTTTCATATAGCCGCTAACACTCCAATTTTAGATATCTTAAAGAATTTCAGAAAATTGATTACATTAGGTTAAATAACATATAATTTGAAAAATTAATCTTAGATTGAAAAATATACTTCAAAATCAAGTTGTGTATTATATCTTAATTTTCTAATATATCACTATTTCTCTAACATAGATAATTGAACAGAATAAATTAAGTTCTAATTTTCTTCTCCCTCTATTATTTCTTTGTTCCCATTGCTCTTTAAATTTCTGAGGCTTGGTTGTTCATTTGTTCAATCTATATTTTTGGAGCATTAATCTTGTGCCAGATACTGTTCTAGGTTCTGATCCTTTTCTCATTTATTGTCAGAGCTTCAATTATCTTGAAAATGTATATCTCTAACCTTGACTTTTTTACTAAACCCTGTATTTTATTATTTATTAAATGGTTCTATTTTTGTGTTCTATTACTTGGCAAAGTCAGTGCTTCTAAAATCTAGAAATCTCTCCCAAATATGTTTTTAGACAACCTCGCTTCTGATATTAGTTACTTCATAGAAATATCTTTATGGATCATGGTAAAACTATGTGATAATTATTAAATTTAGAATAAAAGATAATTAAACTTTCAGAGCTTCAAAATAGGAAACATTTTATCAGTAAATAAAAAAATCTAGATCTCAGAAAATACAATGATCCTAAATGACAGAAATGGGTCATTGACAAGTAGCATTTAGTTTTCAAAATGCTCTTAGTGTCTTTCCCCTTTTACTGCAAAATATTTAGGTAATGGCAATATCAAGTCTAATTTAGGAAAATAATTAAAAATTTCATCTTAAAATGGTAAATGGTAATTTAAGAAAAATATTCTATCATTTAAATAGCTTGACTATTTTTTCAGTTTCACTAAATAGAAATTTCAATTTTATTAGGTTCTAAATTTATTTTATAGCAGTATGGCCAAATGGTTGAGAGCACAGATTATGAGGCCAAACTGCCTTGGTTTGACTTTTGCTAATTGTTTCCTCATGTAATTTACTTGCCACATTGTGCCTCTGTTCTCTCATCTGCTAAATTAAGATATTAGTATCTACCTCAAAGGGCTGTTGTGAAGATGAAATGAGTAAATACACACTCAGTGCGTACCACAACGCTTAGTCAGTATTAAAAGTAATATTGCTATTAGACACAGGGGATTGGGTACCCCCAAACCTAGCAATCAACTTTAATGCCTGATTATGAATGATGGTCATCCCACCCCCCACCACCACCACACACACACTCAGTTATATGTATAGGTCTGGAAGGAAGTTTGTGAACAGAGATTGAATATGTTTACGTTCTTTTTCATAAAGATGATCTGTCATATATCCGGAAGAATAGAATGGCACTTTCTCAACATTTGACTTGTGTGGTTCCAATCCTGGATAGTCTACTAATTGCTGGAGTGATTCATGAACAAGAACATGATATTATTAGGCTGAAAACGCAGACATCTCTGCAAGCAAGAGAACTGATTGATACTATTATAGTAAAAGGAAATTTTGCAGCCACCATATTTAGAAATTCTCTACAGGAAAATGACCCCACGTTGTACAAGCGTTTATTTGGTGAGTGCTAGGCAATTACCTTTGAGAACTTTCTAGATCAATTGAAAATATGCTTATTAATAATTGCAATTATTGAAAAAATCCAATCAAATATATAAACTAGTAATTTCACAGAATACTAAAGACTTTCTGCCTTGACATGATGACAAGTTATTTATAGCATTTGTCTGGAGTCTAAGCTGTTACTTTAAAAATATATATTCTGTGACTAAATATTAACCTTATTTGCCCTACTGATGCTTTTTTTTTTTTTTTTTCCTTTTTCCCCCTTAGTGCAACAGGACATAAAGTATGTTCCCACAGAAAATGTTTCAGGTAAAATAGTATTAATGATTTAAGCCAGTAGAAAACATTATTTTTATTTTCTTGGCTTTTCATTGGGAGAGAAGCACCAAATTACCTTTTATTAAAAATGTATTTCTCTTCTTAGATTTACCGATAGAAGAACAACTGAGGAGACTACAAGAAGAAAGAACATGCAAAGTGTGTATGGACAAAGAAGTTTCCATAGTGTTTATTCCATGCGGTCATCTAGTAGTATGCAAAGACTGTGCCCCTTCTCTAAGAAAATGTCCTATTTGCAGAGGTACAATCAAGGGTACAGTTCGTACATTTCTTTCATGAAGATGATCCAAAATTTTAGCATTATGGGTTAAATATATTGTAATTTTAACTTTTATATTGCTTTAGTTTCCTTATTTTTAAAAATTTATTTATAACTCAGAAAATTTTGTTTTACACAAGTATAAATATATTTATGTAAACATACAGCTAAACCATATAAACATATTTCAGATGGCAAGAGACTATGCTTTGTTCTTGTGAACAAAAAATAGGGATAGCACTACAAGTACAATACTAAATTAAAATTTCAGCGCCATTGAATTGTAAGTGAAGTAAAATTTAAGATTTGTTACTTAACCTTTCAGAATTTTAAATATTTTGGAGTTGTATTAAGAACCAAGAACATGGATCCTCTGTCTTTTTTGATAAGTGTCCTATACATAGATCTTGATATTTGTTTGAGTGACTTTTTATGGACATGGTGTTTTTGTAAAGAATTATGTGAGAAATGTTTTAATAAATCAATCAGAACTACTCTTATTCTTAGTATTTTTATTTCTATGATGTCAGATAATTTAGGCATTCCTAGGCTCCTTCATTACCAACTTAAAACCTCTTCAATAATGAACTACTAGAGGCCCAGTGCATGAAATTCATGAACTCCGGGGAGGGTTGGGAGTGGGGAGGAGGCATTGTCCATCAGCCCCGCCTGCATCATGTCTCAGCCCGGGAGCCCTTGGGGGATGTCTGACTGATGGTTTAGGCCCAACTAAGCCATCAGTCAGACATCCTTAGCACTGCTGCATAGGCAGAAGAGGCTCCTGCCACTGCCACTGCGCTTGCCAGCCATGAGCCCAGCTTCTGGCTGAGTGGCGCTCCCCTGTGGGAGCACACTGACCACTAGGGGGCAGCTCCGGCATTGAGTGTCTGCCTCCTGGTGGTCAGTGCATGTGATAGTGACCAGTCATTTAGCTGTTTGGTCAATTTGCATATTAGCCTTGTATTATATAGGATAGTTTAGTTCCCTTTCTTTAAGATGTTCCATCAGTTACACTTGTAGAGCACACCTGGCTTTAATTTATGGAATTCAATGGGATGTCTGATATGAAATCAAACAATCCTTATAGTGTTTGTTTATTCATTTGTCTATTGATTCAGTCAGGAAGTCTTGTGCCAAATCTATCCATTGGGAAAAGTCCGTTTTATTCTCACTACTTTGGTATTAATTCTGGGTCTTAGAAAGTACACTGAGTAGCAGCCCCTGGAATCAGCAGGTAAATAAATATGTTCTACTAGGGGCCGGGTGCACAAAATTAGTGCGCGAAGGTGCGGGGGTTGGAGGGGGCGTCCCTCAGCCTGGCCTACAAAGACTCCAGCAACCCTCATGACCTCTATCCTGAGGTCCCTCCCCTCCTTCCGCACAGCCTCTGGGAAGATGCTTGTACTGGGGCCCATGACGCCCTGCAGCTCGGGTACTCGGGGGCTTGGGCTCTCAGGTCTAGCTTCCCCGCCTGGCATGGTGAGCATCTGCTGCCATGGGAGCCAAGCCTCAGAAGTCACCCCCTTGGACCACAGTACTTGCGAGTGTGTGTGTGTGGTGGCGGCCTTGGTGCCAGTGATTTGATGTCTGTAGCGTGCTTGCCAGACACCCCCCTGCTTCGATGCCATGCTGGTCACGTCTGGACTGCGGGCAGGGGCCTTCCAGTCTGCGACTGGGGCTGCTGGGCTGTGACTGGGAGCTGCAGGTGGAGGACTCCAGCACCCATAGGGCTCCATCAGCATCAGGAATTGGAAAGATCCATTTTTCTTCCTCCCCTCCCTCTGTGTGGCCAGAGTGCGGATGCTGGGCTTGCAGCCCGAGGCCCCGTCTCTCCCTCCACACTGAGCTCGCACTGTTCGCACTCCCTCCACAGCCCAGGGGCAGATGCTTGGCTCCCATTGCCAGGGCGATGCTGCCAGCATCTGCTATGGGCACTGCCATTTTGCTGTGGAGTGACGGTTAATTTACATATTACTTAGATAGGATACTGTCAATGCATTACTTTTTGGTAACACATTCAAAGGATAATTCTCTATCCTTTGTTTCCTATATAGTTATCAGGTCTTTAAAACCAGAAGTAACTCTATAGTGGGGAACACTTTTGGGGGGGATAAGCAAAGGCCAGTTCTAGATGTATGCTAGGGTAGCGCAGAGGGAGATTAGGCACCAAGCAAGGAGGAAGAGAATCCATCTCCTTATTCTGACACTAAGAGACTATTTCTTTGGGATATCACTGATTTTGCCTCTCTGTTCAAAGGCTCAATTGGTTAGCCACATGCTAAACAAATGGTTCTCTTGGGGTACTAGCCTGTATTGTAATATTGCTTAGGTTATCTGTAACTCAGCTATAAGATATATAGACAGTACGTGGCTTTTTTTGCAACACCTATTTTTAAAAAAAAATCCGGTTCTTATTGCATACTACATAATATTTGAACTTTTCTATCTCCATTTTGTAAAAAAACTCTTGTTCATTTCTCATTGTAGTAATCTATAGCTAACATAACCAACTTACTTATTCAAACATTTTATTTCCCTAAGAATTAGTTAAATTGAAATTTTGTTTTGGAAAAAATAAATCACTATAGCTAATACTGGTAGTTCCATTTTTGGCTGATGGATGTGTAGTAATTCATTTGAGTCTCTCCAACTTCATTCCCCATCCAACCTGGCCTTCAGGTCTCAGAATTTGGTACATAATTTATATAAAAGCCCAGTGACCAGATTGGCGAAATGACTGATAACTAGGATGCTTAGTGTGGCAGCCAACCAGCCAGATCTGAGCCCCGATGGCCCTCCACCCCGTCACTGCCCAGTCCCCAATCGGCCCCCAACACCCCATCCATGCACGAATTCATGCACTGCGCCTCTAGTTTATGTTATAATTCAGAACTTTGCAGCAGGCTTAATATCATTCATAGGTCATGCTCATTATAACTTCCACCCACTCTTTTTATTCATTTCCTTATGTTACTTGACAATATTAGCTAAGTTCCTTTGTGGCCACAAGCAATGTCATTCAACCACATTCACCTCCTTCTGACATCTTACACATCATAGCAGACAGTGTGGATGTTACTAAATCCCAGGCAAAACTATATACCTGCTCCTTATCAGATTTGGACATGGCCCTGTATAGTACTTAACCTCATTTTCTGTCACTTTCCCCTTGCTTACTATTTCCCAGCTCTCTTGACTTCTTTAGTTTCTAAACATGACAAGCTCTTTTGCTTCAGGGTTTTGATTGGAATGTTCTTTCAGTCACTCTTTCCCTGACAAAGTCCTACTCATGCTTCAGGTCTCACTTAGCCTAGATGTTACTTCCTCAGAGAGGCTTTCTCTGACTTCTCCCACCTCAATTACATCCCCTAGACTGTCTTTTAAATGGCCTCCTGCACGCCCCCTACTGGGGATCAAACCAGGGACCTTCTGGTTCATGGGTCAATGCTCAACCACTGAGCCGCATGGGCTGGGCAAAAACTTTTGTTTTGTTAATCCTCACCTGAGGATCTAGCTTTGGCCAGTTTAATTTTCAGCGCCCCAGCTAAAGAACCTAAGTTGGGCAGAGGTAGAGATTTTCCTTTCCCTACAGTATATACTGATGTAGGGAAGGAAAAAATAATTTTCCCCAACCTTCTGAGTTCTTGGCTGAGAACACTGTAATAAGAGATAGATTAACAAGAGGAAAAAACAGAAGTTTAGCAAAGATGTCCCCCCTCACCCCCTGCACTTGATGTCCCTACTAAGTAATTTTACACCCACTGACCCTCTTATTCTACTGGTTGGCTATATATACATCCTCAGCTGTCTGCTGTATTCAGAATTGAGCCTTCTCTCTCTGTCCTGAATAACCTTACCTTTTCTTATTTGTTGACATCTTAAGTGTCAGAATAACTTTTTTTTTTTTTTTAACAATACCACACAATCAATCCTAACATTCTTTATGCTTATTTAAATAAAACTTTACATATGCAATTGATACATATAAAAAGATTTTTTATGTCATTCATAATGGAGCAAAGAAATTAAAACTATACTGAAATAGGGATTTCTAGTTAAATGGTGGCATAGATACTTGCTTCCTTCCACAACCACATCAAAATTACAACTAAGCTACAGAATAATCATCATTCAAAACCACCTCAAACCTGGCTGAACAGAAGTCCTATAACTAAGGACATAAAGAAGAAGCCACATGAGACTGAGGGGAGGAGATGCAAAATTGATAGTTACAGAATAGTCAAAGGGATGTAAAGTACAGCATAGCGAGCATAGTTAATAATACTGCAATAACTATTATGGTATCAGGTGAGTATGAGATTTATCAAGATGACCACTTAGTAAGTTATATAATGTCTAATCACTGGATTGTACAACTGAAATGAATATTGTCAAATGTAATTGAAATACAAAAAAAGTATTCAAAATAAAATATATATATATTCTGAATACATTTACTATATCACCTAGTTCTTTTATTCAGTAGGGAGAAAGGAAAAACAGAAGGGTTAAAAAACCTAGTACCATTTCCCACCTACAAAATTTCTCACTGTCTTAAAACCAGGATTGTTAAATATGGTAAGGGCATTTCCTCCCACCCCCTTTCCAAGTCTTTTTTTTTTTTAAATATATTTTATTGATTTTGTACAGAGAGGGAGGGAGAGAAATAGAGAGTTAGAAACATCGATGAGAGTGTCATCGATCAGCTGCCTCTTGCACACCCCCTATTGGGGATATGCCTGCAACCAAAGTACATGCCCTTGACCAGAATCGAACCCGGGACCCTCCAGTCCCCAAGCCGATGCTCTATCCATTGAGCCAAACCAGTCTCGGCCCTTTCCAAGTCTTTTTGTGAAAGTGGTTTTCCTTTGTTCATAATAAAGGTGAGGACATCCATTGAAAATCAATGTCTACCTATTGATAGCCTCAAGGCAGAGCATTTTGCATTCTGGGACAGATAATATATATGTACATCTTTTTTCACATATGCATACAGATCTAAATGTGAGAATGAAAAGTG